CTAGTGATTGGAACATGGAATGTGAGAACCATGAATGTGGAAAAATTAGAAATTGTTAAGAAAGAAATGGAACACATAAATATTGACATATTAGGCATTGGAGAGATGAGATGGACTGGTATGGGGCATTTTGAGTCGGATGACCATATGATATATTACTCTGGAGATGAAAAGACAAGGAAAAATGGGGTTGCCTTCATAGTAAAAAACGTAATTTCTAGATCCATCTTGAAGTACACCATCGTGAGTGACAGGATTATATCCATACACTTACACGGAAGTCCAGTGAATACCATTATCATTCAGATATAAACCATTACTGAGAGAAATAAAGATAAAAATCAATGAAAAGATACCATATGATTAAAATATGAAGAAATGCTCAAAATCACTGACAATAAGAGAGATGCAAATCAAAACTACAATGAGATACCATCTCACCCCAGAAGCAGTGGCAATGTTTAAAGGACAGAAAACAATAAAGGTTGAAGAGGGTGTAAGGAAATTGGAACTTTGATATACTGTTGGTGAGATTGTAAAATGGCACACCTTTCTGCAAGGCAGTTTGACATTTCTTTAAAAGCTGGATAAAGAAATTCTGTATGATCCTGCTAGGAATAGACTCCAAGGAAATTGGAAATGAGACATGAACAACGACTTGTGCACCAACGTTCATATTAGCATTATTTATGATGGCAAGAAAATGAAAACAGCCCCAATGTCCACCAACAAATGAATGGAATCAACAATGTCACCAGTTGTTGGTTTTGAGTGCTGTTGACTCATAATGACCCTGTGTGCAGCAGACGTAAATGCTCCTGCGCTGGGTCCATCAATCTGCCCATGGCATCAATCCATCATCACCCATGCTGTCAATCCATCACCCATGGGCATCAGTCCATCATCACCCATGCTGTCAATCCATCACCCATGGGCATCAATCCATCATCACCCATGCTGTCAGTCCATCACCCATCCATCCATTGGCATGAATCCATCCACTCACGGGCTTCAATCTATCCACCCATAGATATTAATCCATTACCCATGGGCATCAATCCATTACCATGGACAGCAATCCATCCCCTATGGGTGTCAATTCATCACTCATGGTGTCAATCTAGCCCTGAGACAGTTCACTAGGAAACACTAAGAAAACCTCAGTGAGCGGCCTTTTCACACCGATCCAAAATGAACACACCTTTCTCAGTGTGATATTTTCAAAAGAACTAGCCTCTGCCTTCTCAGATGAAGTCTTTTCATCTTTGTAGGATCTTAGCCTGTTTCCATTTTAACTGAAAGGATTAATTTCACCACAGATTAAAATTTTAAATATACAATTTATATGCAACTTTAACTCATCATTATGTCCTTTTTAAAAGTGT